AAGTCAAAATAGAGAATTGCATCGGACAACATGTTTTGTCTGTGATGCGTCAAATTTGGAAATGTTATCCATATGTCTATCATACAATCTTTAAAAAAAGATTTGTTGATGTCTTAAATGTTTTAACTTTGATCAAACAACTTTAAACACATTCTAACTGTATTAAGCATCACGAAACATTCAAGTGATAGTATTACCTCAACAATATCTATTCAAGTCACGTCTTATCACAAGTCAGGTCATTTATTCCCCAAACCACCCACGGTGGTACAAAAGCATATTTTCCATAAAAAGTTAGATTTCATTTGTGGTAATTAATATCTGTACGAACATTCGATCTTATTGATTAAGTATTAAAGGATTGCGCATACAAATGTACTTGCTAAATGCCGTATATCTTAACAGGGAAGTCGCATGGCTTCAGCTACTTTAATTAAAACTTTTGGAGGGTTCATAAGACGAGCAAGTGAGGATTTCTATCTAAGTACGCTTTGAACAGTATTGTGGTGTGTCAGCTTGATGTAGGAGGAAAAAGCCCTAAGGGTATGGGACTGAGAAACAGGGTGAGCCAGGATTCAAACCCACGTTCGTTGTTAACTTTCTGACAATCCAAAGGAAGGCAACTCTGCACAATCCGAGGGTATGATATAATAAAGACCTTGCAGACAATTCAACACTGAATACCCCTCAACACCACTGCAATTCAATATCGGATGAACCCTAACGGGTCTGTGTCACGCATGTCTTATTTGTTTTGTTGTTTTGCTCAACATTTGATCTACATATGATGGTTGCCTGCTGTAGAATCTGAATCACACAATTCAGGCAATGATATTTGGAACAACGATCCACGCCGTCGGGGTATGATGACACGCCATCAACACGCCATCAACACGCCATCAACACGCCATCAACCAGGTCAACAAGTTCCCCGATCCATTATATCACCTATTACGACCAGCACTGGTTGCTGGAGACAGATTCCAACCCGGATTACCTTTGGGAAGAATCACACTTTGACCATTCCGGAACGCTGCTTGAGGAATTGACATCCGTTCGTCCTTCAAGACATCTGCCAGATCTTGTAACAGCACATTGCCGAAGTACATATTCGATCAGATTCCGGGGAATATACATTCCATTCTCGGTATTGTTCCTCTCGTTAGCAATGGGTCTAACCATCCAAAGAAGGATCTCACCCCGCTTCCGGCATCAATCAATGGGTCATTCGTTATATTCTCATCTGCAGCTTCCTTCGAGGATCCGTTAAAACCATTCCCACCTAAACTGTAACGGTTCAAGCCGCGAGTATATCATGTTCATCCACGCAGCAGTTCAATAACGGCCCGTCAAACACTACATCGACCATCGCGAAGATCTGAACAGAAATTTGATTCATCTGTGAACAGAACAGATTGCAATTGATTGGGACAGCAGATGACATGGGTTTACCAGTTCTGTGTCGACCGCTTTTAGAAATAAAAATAAAAATCGTCATTGCGGGTCGAACCGTTTCTACCGTGTCATTACGATGTCATATGTCAAGATGCCGTCAAAACAGAAGAAGTGGACGGTTGTTCACGCCGCAGCAAATGGGAAGGGAGATAACTCAGGTTACGATGATGGTCTCCGAGCCCTCGGGTTAATCGAAAGTTTGGTTTTGAAATTGCAACTGATTTTGAGGATTTACCTATAGTAATAACATGAACTGAGTTTCATGTTGAATTATTGTTTTCTTTGGATGTGCTGCGTTCCATATCCTCACAACAGAATCAGTGTCAAAGTCCAGTAATATCCAAAGGCGTCCACGTTCGCGTTGCGACGATCTGCTCTGGGGACCTCTTCAGTTGCCATTTTAAAAACCGTGGAACAAAAGCAGCGAGGCGCTGTGCGGCAACAGGATAGTGGCAAGAAATAATAATAATGTTGTCAGTTCTAACATATCCATGTATTGCATCACCACACACCAAGTTTGTATTACACAATATGGAAAGCATTGCTAAGGTATACCTAAAGAGATTCATCAGAGCACTTCGCAAAATTCTAAGGAGAATGTTTATTCTGCTCGCAAAGTATGCGATATATTGTTATTAGAAAGAAGATTAGTTTTTAGTGAATTCATTATACCTTCAAAATGTGACTGAGAGAAACACGTTTGTCCATCTGGGATGAATCTTAATTGGGAGTGAGTGAATTCGGACAGTAATTCAATAATATCCCAACGCGTCAGCTTCCTGTTGTAGAAAATGCCAAAGTGATGCATGTTTCAGACGTTTACCAATTTGGTGAAACCCACGAGCACGTGTATGGTGCTGACAAACCAAGAAGAAACATTATAGCGAACCTGAGATTCAAACCCACTTTTGTAATGACGAACATGCATCAACTGAGCCAAGACTCAGCCACTCCAAGTATCTATGTCCAAAAGCTTACTACAACAATACAAAGGACCTAAAAAAAATCAGTGGTCAGAAATGGGAAGGTTAAATGGCGATTTATCGACATAGGTTCAGAACCAAACTGGTCGCATTTGTTTTAATCTTCAAGATCAAAATCATTTCTGTTAACTGGATAAGACATCTACTCACGTCCATGGTACACATCATACAGATATGACAAAATATAAGCCGGCCTGTACGAAAATAGGTTAATGTAGAAGACGAATTGTTGATATACAGGAATATGACATGGACTTGAAAATTTTGATGACGTATTGTACTTCGTTGTTTTTCATAATGACAGCACATCCATCATGCCAGGCTTTAATATATTTTTCATGAAATCTAGGGCAAAATCATTTCATTCCAGTATTTCCTGAAACAAAATATATTTTAAGAAGGAAACCGTAATGGATGGTCCCTTATAATCAATGGAGCATGAGTGAATGGTGATGTCCCTGTATATACCATGCAAAAAATAGTGGGGGATAGCAGGAATGATCTTCTGATCTATATGGTACCGGCAAATGGAAATGATAGGATCATACTTCAGGGGAGTAAGCGATCAGATCTAATGGGTTCTAATGGTCCTTGTGATGAGATGGTGGCGCACTAGGTTGTTAAAGGGGTCGGGGGTCAAATTCGAAATTTGCATTTTTCAGCAAACGCCGGAGGGTGGTGGGGTAGCCTAGTGGTTAAAGCGTTGGCTCGTTACGTCAAAAAACAAGGTTCGATTCCCCACATGGGTACAATGTGTGAAGCCCATTTCAGTGTCCCCCGCCGTGATCTTTCTGGAATATTGCTAAAAGCGGCGTAAAACCAAACTCATTCACTCACTAATATCGGATAAAAACCAACTCTTTTTTCGTCAGACATGAACGAATTCTTCGAAGGATGATTCTGGTGAGTCGACCATTGTGAGCTTGACCAGTGTTGTTCCACTCATCAGTGAGAGCAACACCGAGTCCATTGAGAGTGGTGGGTGGATTTTGACGTTGACGTACACGTCTGCCAATATTTCCCAGACATGTTCAATGGGAGGAAGTCAGGACTGAGTGCTGGCCATGGTATGATATGGGTGTTTTGCTGCTTGAGAAATTGGGTCACAATCTTGGCACGATGAGCAGGTGCATTATCATATTGAAAAATGTAACGTTGCCCAACACGTTGTGCAAATGGCACCATGTGTGGTGCAATGATGTTGTCCCGATAGTACTGACCTGTGGTCCATATGGAGCACAGTCCGGCCAGTCATTGTGATACTACCCCATACCATTATGAACCCATCCCCAAAACCATCACGCCGTACGACGTTAACGTCCATAAAACGATCATTAAGACGTCCCCAAACTCGATTCCTTCGGTCGTGGAAGTCGAGAGTAAACCTCGATTCGTTAAAAAACATGACATTAGTCCAGCGTCGATTATACAAGCGCTGACGATTCTGTGCTGTCGTCTCTGCAGACGTTTTGCACCGCCTAGGCAGTTGCTTTACATCAGTTGCCTCTTGCAACCTGTCCCTCATCTGAGTGGCAGTTTGCAACCTTTTTCTCACTGCCATTAGTATGGCTAGTCTGTTCTGGACTGGAGGTTTTGCTCTCGGGCGTCCAGAGCGTAATCGATCATCCACGTTGTTGGTGGGTATCGGACCTACAATCTGCTGATGACAGATTGAGAAACATGCAGCGTTTGGGCAACAATATTCTGACGTGTGCTCACCTGAAATATGTCTAAGGCACTTTAACGTTCAGCGCGTTGCAAACGTCGCATGATAAATGCTAATTGCTTCCTTAATGAGTGTAATGAATTGTTTAGCGTTTGGTTCCATGAAAACAATATGTCTTCACACAAACGCACCTGAGTGACAATGAAATATCTGGCACACCACCCCTTGCACGTGCTGTTCGAGGTCACGTGTTTCACAATGTTGTGTTTGGGAGCTTGATTTCATCGGAAATGTTCTTGCCTCATAATTCACTCTCATTGCAAGACATTTGTGTAATTTCCTGTACTTTCAGCTAAAAACAAATTATTCAATACTCTTTCGCATAGTATATACACGGGTATCACAGCTGTGTTTTGGACTTTAAGTTTGCATTGTTTCGACGACAGTTTTCAGCCCAGTAAGGATTTGCTAATATACTGTATATTTTGGTCCAATCTAGTTTTTAAGTGTATACATTCTTTTGCCCGGCAGTTTACCTCTGTCATTGAGAGATATTATACAGCCATAGGTCATGGGGTCGAGCACACACCTCTTAGAGGAAGCTACAACCGGCGCAGTGTAACAATGTTTCCCGTACTCATTGACGTTTATCATTTCCTCTACTTAATGTGAGGTGAAGTTAGTTGCCTTACGAGGTGGACGCCCGACCCCATGACATATACGGCAATGACAAACGTAAACTGCCGTGCAAAACAAATGAGTCGCTTCTAAATAGATCACCGAGTGTCACGCATGCTAACTAGTGATATACGTGTACATAAACTCTGTCCTGCAGACAGGTATACCTACAATGTATGCAGATGAATCTGTGGTGGTAAAATTAATAAACAACATACCTGTCTCTCCATCTTCATTGCTATCCCAAAGTCTCTCCACATTATCAATTCAACGTCAATACCATGTCTGCAAAAACAATGTCGACACAATACATTTATACATATATGCACATACATAATTCACCGAAATGCAAACATGATATATAATGCAAGTATGTAAACATGTTTTAACATGCAACACATGCTACTAAAATTACGTAAGCGTGCATTAGCCATGCAACACATGCTAATAAACATACGTAAACATGCAATAATCATGCAACACATGATAATATGCGCACGTAAACATGCATCATCCATGCAAAACATGATAATATAGGCACGTAAACATGCATCATCCATGCAAAACATGATAATATAGGCACGTAAACATGCATCATCCATGAAACACAAGATAATATACACACGTAAACATGCATCATCAATGCAACACATGATAATATTCGCATGTAAACATGCATCATTCATGCAACACATGATAATATACGCACGTAAAACATGCATCATTCATCATCATGAAGTCAGTTGTTCGACTCCCAGCACACGGAAAACGGCTGCTACATTGTACCAGTGTGTCAACACGTGTATATCTGCATGTGATACTTTTTTGTGAACCGATGAATAACTTCAATGTTTTTCAGAGTTTAATTCGTGAAGGTGGTGTGATTGATGTCTGTGTTGTTAAAGGGGTCGTTTCCTTGTTACTGACGCTGTGTTTAGAAAGAAGTGACAGCGGTCGAAGTAAGCTCGACCATTTGAGTTTACGTCTTTAGGACTTCAATCGCAATATTTGGTGTATTTAACGAGTCGATAGATTGTTTGACAACTTGAGGGTATAAACATGTTCACGACGTTCCTTAATGTGCACTTTGTATGACCCTTCAGCAAATTCGCCAGGGGTGACAAGGCATGGGAAGGATGAAACCAGTGGCATTCAGGCGCTATTTTATATTATTTATGATAAACAAATAATATAATAATGATGATTGATGGCATGTGGTCGGAGAGGACAGTATTTCACACAGTAAAATCAAGCATGTTTTGAGGGAAGAAACTGCTGACTGGTATTTTTCCTCTAACAGTACTGGAACTTTGGCTTAATACCAGCGCTCAAATCAAAGCAAATATCACCAAACGACATGTTTTACTTGGATACCAATTCAGAAGTAATGACCCATCAAATCTTATAATTATTCTTTGCAAAAACTTTATTTTCTCACATAAAGACACAAAGCATATTCCATCGTTCCAGATCTTCCAGAATGAACTTAAGAAGTATTACTTCATCTCCAAATGTACAGCACTTCGGAGTGAGAATTTAGACAGATTCTATAAATATTGGTCACCATGCCATACACATTTTGGGCAACATGGAAGTCACTGTTTTCTGTTTTGTAAAAACAATATGAAATGCAACAAATAAAAAAAAATATAAAAAAGTTAAAGAATTGTTTTATCATTTTCCTCTAAATGACACACAAACGTGGAGGAACATGTTTACATATATTCCAAGTCAACTTGATGAATCGAATAAACGTTCGCAAGGACCATACTCGGAATGGTTTTGCCCCAACGCTATCGCGTTCATCAACCTTTCACTCTTAACGAGTCAGTGGACATGCGAAAACAGCCACTGTTGCTCCCAAACAACCAGCTATGTAAGCTAACATATTGTCGATGAAATCCTTTCCAACACAAAAACATTTTCCTCCTCCTGTCCTGTGGAATACAGCTGGCTAGACTTGCTTTTGTATAATCTAGATTCGTTTTCTTTTAATCACAAACACATATTCCACAGTAGGACCAACGCCTAGCCTATGCTAACAAACGCAAGGTCGTCTCATACATTTACAAGTTACCGCAGTTACTAAAAACGGAACAGGCAGCGTTAAATCAAATGTAATTACTTATCATGAGGGGTTACGGGTGGCCCAGTCGTCTAAGGCCCCGCGATTCGCAAGAAACCTATGATTGTGGGTTCGAATCCCGATTCGCCCCGATTATGTTTCTAGGTTTGTCAGCACCATACCCGTGCTCATGGGTTTCACCGAAGTGGTCAACGTCTGAGACCTGCATCACTTAGGGCTTTCCTCCCCCATTAAGATGACACACTGCGATACAACTGAAATACTATTAAAAGCGACGCTAAACCCAACTCACTCACTCACTAATCATGAATGTGCGTAACCATTATAGTAATCTACTCATGGTGTTAATAAGGATCACTTTACACTTTAATCAAAAGCGATAAAAACTTTTTCATGATCAACAGAAATCTCTGCCAAAAGCAGAGTCAATTGTAGGATTCCGTCTATACTATGTTTATGAATCACTATCAAATAGTGAAGGTAACAGGTGTTCGCGAAAAGGTGAGCGTATCCCGCCCAGCGTGGCATATGTCACAAACACATGCAAAGGCAAATCTATTGTTCACCTGAAAAAACACAAGCTAAAATTGGGAAGAAATGAACACATCACAAGCTATTTTGGAAAGTGAGTATGGTTTTATGCCACTTATAACCACATTCCAGCATATATCCGGGCGGGGAACACCAGAAATAGGCTTCATGCATTGAACCCATGTGAGGAATTGAACCCGTTTCTCGTGGCGTGACGAGCGAACGCTTAAACCACAAGGCTACCCCGCCGCCCCGTAGTACTTATGAACTTGTGTTGTTGTTTTTATGTCCCGCGTGTACAGTCAGTGCGTCAATGGTAGAAAGTAACAATCCTGGGAGATCTCCGAAACGCAAAGTTTTATAGGAGTACCCTACAGCACAACAAATCATGGGATGTTTTCTTTGTATATTCAGATGGAACGCATATCTTACAGTAATCATTGATTCCGCGTTTGTTTATCTTTACATGTGACAGAATATAATGTGTAGCGAGTGCCTTCGCGTTGACACCATTGAACAGGTAAAGAACAAATTTCAAGCACTACATTGCTTTTTGTAAGAGGAAACTCATTGATCGAACGACGAGACTCGGCGGCCTATTTGTTTGCGTATCAACATACTACAAAGACGTGGGACGCAGATATACTACTCAAAAGAAGTTAAGGATCACCCGATTCTTTCGTAATGGTAAAGTTAATCTGTCATGACATGAGAGATTAACTATAGTAATTTGAAAGAACCAGGTGATCCTTAACTTCTTTTGAGTAGTATAGGTCTACTTCACACTTATTTCCAGGGAGCAGGACGTGGAGAGAACACACGGCATTTGGCCTGATGATAACAATGACTAGGACAACATCATTGCCGTGTTTTGTTCAGCTATTATAACCTGCCCTGCAAGACAATGTACATACTTAAAAATTGGATTCGATCTCAAACGTTATTAAAACGTTACTAGGCTGAAAACGTCGCCGAAACATTGCAAACCTGAGGTCCAAAAAGCAACTACGATACCCGTGTCAAATACATCACTATCAAATAGCCATTTCTTGTTTGTTTCATTTTTGGCCACCATCATACATGAGTGTATATTTTGTTTTGCCCAACAGGTTAGTTGAAGAGCCTATAAAATCAAACATCCATTTTGGCTGTAATGAATCAATGGTACATCACCATCTTGTTTGTGAGTGAGTGAGTGAGTGAGTATGGTTTTACGCCGCTTTTAGCAATATTCCAGCAATATCACGGCGGGGGACACCAGAAATAGGCTTCACACATTGTACCCATGTCGGGAATCGAACCCGGGTCTTCGGCGTGACGAGCGAACGCTTTAACCACTGTGCTACCCTACCGCCCCTCTTGTTTGTGTCTGTGTAGACACCATCAAACACAGTTGTATACTTTCTTTTGCATGGTAGTTTAATGGTACAGAGCTGGCAGTTTGAAACACTGACATAGAGTAGAACGTCTTTCAGAGTTCTATTCATAAAGGTGGTAGCGGTGGGGTAGCCTAGTAATTAATGCGTTGACTCGTCACGCCTAAGACCTAGGTTCGATTCCTAACATGTGTACAAGTGTAAAGCCCATTGTCCTTCGTGGTTATATTGCTGGAATACTGCTCAAAGAGCGGCGTAAAACCATACTCCCTCACTTATACTATTCTCATTGGCAGTAATACATCCCTATTCACAGCTGGTTATTACCTTCGAGCTTTTTCCCTGTGCACATCAAGGTCAATCACAATAATTCGTAAATTGCAGTGGGTTTAGGTTTTATTCCTGTCAAAACCATACATTTGAGCACATCAAAACAAATACCTCTGTCCGAGGTTTGCAAAATATACAAAGGGAACTTCATTCTGAGTTTTTGATATTATGACATCTGCGGGGCTCCACCGAGTTGGTACATTATGTTGGACTGAGTGAACTGTACTGGCGATCGTTATAATAAAATTTATTTGAGAACAAAATCAATTTGAAATGTATTTACTCAGAATATATGATGACAAAAAGGATAGTGCAGAGCACTACAAAAAGGATAGTGCAGAGCACTACAAAATGGATAGCGCAGAGCACTACAAAAAGGATAGTGCAGAGCACTACAAAATGGATAGCGCAGAGCACTACAAAAAGGATAGCGCAGAGCACTACAAAAAGGATAGCGCAGAGCACTACAAAAAGGATACCGCAGAGCACTACAAAAAGGATAGTGCAGAGCACAACAAAATGGATAGCGCAGAGCACTACAAAAAGGATCGAGCAGAGCACTACAAAAAGGATACCGCAGAGCAGGTTTCAATGTATCTGCCTGTAAAACGAATATACATGTATTTATTTATTATGGAAGCATAACATTACGAAGTCAACATATACAATGTTCTGAGCTATCAAGTCTGTGCACAATCAATAGTGACACATTATCCCAGTTTGAGACATCCAGAACACAGTATCAGTGTAGTTGACATTGATAGGAAACCTGTGCCCTTGAACAAGTTATCTACGGGTCAAAATCTCGCTCAACATAACATCCACGAACTTCTATTCAATGGACGAATTCGCATTTCACTTTTTACGCAGTACAACAATTTTCTATACCAAGAACAGCCAGTACCATGTTCTATATTCAGTACAGGCAGCACCATGTTCTATGAATAGTACAGGCAGCACCA